ACCCACCGCCAAGCTCAGTTTCTTCCTGATGTTTCTAATGAATGTCTCCTTGAGGGCAAGGGGAACCTTGTCCTCCTGGAGAGACCCATTAATTATTGCTGTAGCCTATTCAGATGTTATAGGCCTGGCTGCTTTGATTAGCCAGGCCGGGCAAGAGTCAGGGAAGGAGGTGGTGGTGCCACAGTGATCAAGCACTCTGTCCACCATGTCTGACATCACAGGCTGTAAGTGGCTAAATCTCATTGGGCAAGACGGAGTGCTGGACGTCTCTGCTCAATCCACTGTTTTCAAATAGGAGGTAAGATCCCGATGGATGGCCTCCACTTGTGATTTTTAAAAGGCTGCAAATTGGTCAGGTGAAATGCTAGTGGGAGGCTGGTCACTATGACCAACTCCAGATCGATCGCCAACTATACAGAAGAGTTCCACCTGCTGATTGGAAGCAGCCTTCAACTCAGATTGGTAAAGGTTATTTGCAATTCTGACAGCTATCTGGTTATTTTCCATCAGGTTCCATCTCCATATGTGCTCTAGCCTTCTCCTATTTTGCTTCATTGATTGCAGCTCCTGATTGAACCAGGGCAAAGGGTGATCTCTGCACCTGTGAGGGTTTTTAGGTGTGATCGTGTCAACAGCCCTGGTGGCAGCAGCAAGCCAGCTATCAACCAGAGCCTCAGCAGGAGCGCCAGTCAGATCGGCCAGAATCCCTCTCATGGTATCCTGGAATCCTGTAGGATCCAGTAATCTTCAAGGGCGAACCATTAAAACAGGTCCTTGCTCCCCATGGGGAGGAAGAGCCACTGTAAGGTTGCATTTAATCAGGCAGTGATCCGACTATGACAAAGGGACAGACACTAGGTCAGTTATCATCATTAGACAGTGTGGAACGTAAGACTTGGAGACCTCCTGTTCCTTTTCTGGGGTTGGTTCTTTGAAGCACTTCATTTCATGGAACCTTCTGTCCATTTTCTGTTGCGGTGGTAGAGTGGCGCTCTGCAACATTTGAGGCATTAGGCTTCAAATCACAGTTTTTGGCTAAAGTTATTTTGGTCTACATACTAATCTCATTTTGAACATGCATAATTTCACCCTCTGTTAGACAATGTGAGTCAGCTACCAAGTGAGAACAAACACAAAACGGCAATAGGATGCGGACATGGTGCATTTGTGCCATTTCCTGAGATACTGAAAAGCAAGTATATTTAGCCCAATGAGAACAATTGATTGTCACGTCCATTAATGTTGCTGAATCGAAAGCTACAGTACAAGTATTGTAGGAACATTATAGCTTTTTTGAAAAGAAGAAAAAGCAGACAACCTTCATTCTCTAATGCCTCTAAATTGCATGGTTTCACATGGTTACTTGACAAGTAGTAAATAACTAGAAGCGTATGGTTGCTGTGGTGACCAAACATAGCATTCTTTCTCTGTTTTGTCTTTTTTTGGGTTTGATTTGTTTTCAAGTCAGTATGGGACTCTAAGCTAGGCTTTTGCAAAATGTTTTCTTCTTTTTTTCATGGCTTCGTAATTTTTAAAGTTATGCCTGAGATAAAAAAAATATGGAAAGCTGCTTGTGCTGTAACTGTTTTGTACTGTGGACCCTTGGGTGCACAGCGGTATTGATTTCATAGGGCCTGACTGCTACAGACAAGAAAACTGTGTTCTGATTTATTACTGCATGAAAAAGGTATGCTTTTTGAGGGCAGTTACAAGCACATTGTAAGAAACTTGCATATGCCTTACCCAAACGGCAGCCTTCTGCATAATTCTCCAGGTCTTAACTTCTTTATTTCCTCTCTTTAAGATATTGTGCAGTAGCTTGCATTGGTTTTGCAAATGCAAAGGAAGGGTATCCATACTGGTCCAACAGAAATAGACGCGGCGTGGCCAGTGTTGTTCCAGGCTCAAAAGTCTTGGGAACCACTTTGGGTTTGGGGAGGCTTTGGTTCTATAGCAATACTCAGGCTTGGTGCTTCCTTTGTTGGCACCATTGTTTTCTCAGTCTGTAAGTCATGATACACATAGTGTTGAGAGAGGATCCCAACAAATCACTGTGGTCCAACCCACCTGACAGATTTGTCTGATGCCTGAGGGAAACATCTGAAGAGAACTAGAAACATCACACTACTACACCATTTATATGTTATAGAGGGAAAAACCTCAAGATGGAACTGTTTTTGGCAGCTACACCTTTATTTCTTATAGTTTATTCTTCTCTGAATAGGTCCATCCTGAATTAACTTTTAATTCAGTAAAAACTAAAAATTTCCTTGCTTTTCCTGTGAGTATATGGGATATGATCTGTTTGATGGACCAAAAATATTATATCACTTAGAGGTATTTTAACATTTGGTGATTTACATTATATATTTGCAGATGAATAATTTCTATTTAAATACTAGCATCAGAAGCACTAACTGATGTTCAGGAGAAAAACATATTTAGAGAAACGTGCAGAGCTTCCCCCACCCCCATCCACTGCAATAACAAATTAATTCAAAAGCCTTTCATTTGCATAAATCTCTAGGTCTCATTTTCACAGCTGTTGGTTCTGTCAGCAAGATAGCTGCATTTCAGATTCATTTTAGCATAAATGGTGGAAAGTATACCTTTCAACTAAAAATATCTTGTTCTGAAAGAAAGATTGCTACTTGCTGAACTTAAAATCGTTGTACACTGCCTTATTATTTTCTTTAAACTAGTGTTTTCCAATACAGAGAACTTTAACAATATGAAAGGTTTAAAATTCTCTTGCGATACCGTTACAATGAAGCATTTTTAAATGGAACCTTCCTTTTTCTTCAGAATTAAAAGGTTATCTAGCTTTTGTTTTAATACGGTATAACATTTGTTCTTTCTAAAATAAATGAGGTATCAGTGAACATCAGTGCTATTTATTTGCCATTCAGAAGGATCTTAAAAAACAGTTGCTTCCGTTAAAATGGTCCTTAATTATAATGTCAAAGCAATTCAGATACCAAAAAAGGTTGAGTTGTTGAAATCAAATAAACTTTATCTGTTCATATGTGTATAATGTTGCCTTATCTAGCTGTCTAAGTTCACGTATGTTGATCATCACTCAAAATTGGAAACTGCAGGTATGCATTGGAAATAGATTCAGGTCATAACATGCATGTGCTGGTTACAATGAAATACACATTCAAACATGTATTCAACTTCACACCCCTATTCTTCACATTCTTACAGAACTTTGAAAGTTACTTTTTGAAATGAATTGTTAGCATTACTTATTGCACCTACTCATTTCGAGGGCCCTACATCATCAGCTGCCTGTTCCTTTGTTCTGTCTGGCCTTAGAGGTTCCAGGTCCTCATCTGAAGATGATTCCACTGGCATAGTCATGACAGTACTCATTGTAATTTTTGTGAATAAGTAAATCGGTCTAAAACGTTAAGAATATGGCCTAAGTTTTTTTAAAAATCCCCTCAAAATGCCCCCAATGCATTTTAGCCTCTCTGTAAGAATAATGTTAAATTAACAAACAAAAAGTACTCATTGCACTCTGAAAGTAACATTGTTATCCTCTTGTAATGTTACTTTCAAAAGGAGCATTTCAATACTGTGCAAAATAATGCTTTACAGGTAGCACTTTACCTCCAGGCTCTGTATTATTATACAACTGATCACATCTTCGTAACCTGCAATAAGAGCGGAATTGAAGCCAATAATAAAGCTTATCTGAAAGTAGCACGTGTTGCCTGATGGTTCTAAGAACATTGAAAAGGGCTGTAACTAAGAAAAACTGTAAGGGAATAGTTGACACCATAATGACACTTCAGCTTTTTAGATGGTATTAGAAAGACAAAAAGCACTGAAAAATGGCATTCAAAAGAACTCGTGACTACTTCTGAAATGCAGTGTCATCTCTTAGGTTTTGTAGAGCATTTCCTTCTTCTTTTTTCCCCACAGGTTTGCTGCTGGTTGTGAGGAAAATTCTGGATGGAAATAGATCATAATGATATAAAAGCACATATACAAAATGCAGGAAATATGCATATACAAAATGGAAGCAGTGCACATGTCGGAATGCAAGAAAGTCGGCATCATAGCAAGCCAAGCTGTGACATCTTACAAACAGTCTAATCTAGAAGATGGACTACACAGGCATTTAGCTCATTTAGCTGCAGGGATGGGTTGGGTTACTCCCAAAGATGACAATCAGACAGTGTCTTTGCTGGAGCCCACCAGCCCACCGCCAAAGCAGCCCCATCTGCACCTTTCTGGTGCCCTGTTAAGGGCTGCTGCTGCTGCTGCTGCTGCTGCTTCTTCTTCTTCTTCTTCTTCTTCTTCTTCTTCTTCTTCTTCTTCCCTCCTGTAATGGTTGGAAATGAACCAAATCTTCCTTTTTTGATTTGGCAATATTGTGAAGTGGCTTAATAGAGCCACTTCAGGATATTGGCTAATTAAGCACTTCTTTTGCTCCTCAACAGGGAGGCAGAGGATGTGAAAAAATATTCTCCATCAGAGCAATGAAAATGTGCTTCATCACTTATAAAAAATGTTAATATTTTATTTCCGTTGTCTTAACGGGCTGGTCGAGAACTGTTGATAGCCAAATCTGCCACCATGGTACTTTGTCAACTGGCAAGAGAAAGAATATATTTGTGTATTACCTATGTGTAATAGGCTGTGGGTGGCTTTCATCTGGACCTTTAAAAGAAAAGTATGAGATACACATATCTCATATACTTCTCTTGAAGATCACATATAATACACATGTCTAATACGCATACACTTTTAAAAAGACTACATAGACTTCCTTAGGTCTGTATCCTATTTCAGTGTGAGGACTGCACCAAATGGCATAGTGGACCCCTTAGCGACCCTATTTAGCCTGCTCCAGCTGGCTGTATAGACAAGCCCAGAGAAGTTTGACTCCTCAAGCATAAGCCAGTTATGTGTGGGCTAACAATTACCAGCATTTTCACTTAGGTCATTATTATTTTAATATTCCAATTCTTAATTATGTTTTCTTTTAGGCTTTTATGTCAATGTTCCAGATCCTAACACAGGAAGGATGGGTGGATGTGATGGATCAGACTCTTAATGCCGTGGGGCATATGTGGGCACCAGTTGTTGCTATTTACTTCATACTTTATCATCTTTTTGCTACCCTGGTAAGCCATATGCCTAATACGTTTGTTTTTATTTACCTCTTGAAATACTTATCATGTTGCTCATATGTGGAATGAAGGTAGGCATAATGATGAAAGTACTGATTTTCAGTCCCTGTCCTATACACCAGACAGGGATGCATTCTCAGTGGGGCAGTCCAAACAGCTAGATTCTTTCTTTCTTTGGATTCTGTTGAGTGATAAATACTTTCTTTCTTTGATTCTGTTGAGTGATAAATACAGGATGAGGTTAAGTCTTTTTGAAATTCATGAAGAAGAAACAATAACTTATAAAAGTTAATCAATTTCAATGCTAGAAATACATCTTGTCATATTTTCCCCATAGTTTCCTGATCAATATTTTTCCCTCCAGCATTATATGGTCTCTGCCACCACTGATTTTGTAAGCGGGGGGGGGCTTCATGAATCCAGACTGGTCACCAAACCACTGGTTCTTAACCTTGGGTTACTCACGTGGTTTTGAACTTCAACTCCCAGAAACCCCAGCCAGCACAGCTGGTGGTGAAGGCTTCTGGGAGTTGTAGTCCAAAAACACCTGAGTAACCCAAGGTTAAGAACCACTGACCTAAACCAGGTCAAGGAATAACAGGATGAAATTAGAGAAGTTGTTACCTGCTCTGTTTCATAGTTCTTTATAGAAATGGGCATGAACTTCAGATTGGAATTTTGTGCCGGTTTGGTACTGCACCTGCACAGGTGTTGTGTGGAGCCCATGTACTTCCCTCTCTTGCCTCCTCTGCACACTTGCCCATTCCCTGGAATCTCTGTCCTGCCTCCTTGTCTGTGTGGGCGGCTGGTGGAGGAAGCAATGGAGGGAAGCACAGCTGTGCACGGTGAAATGGCAGTTGCATGGAGAAGGCAGGGAGGCAAGCAAGCATCACCCAGGGAATGGGCGAGCATGCAAAGGAGGCAGAAGGGGGAAGAACATGGCACCCACACAACACCTGTGTGGACACAGTGCCGAATCAGCACAAATCTCCAAACCAAGATTCGGGAGCATCTCTAGTACTTTGTGAAGTCTGCATGAATAGGATGTTTACTCTGTATAATGAGATAGTAAGCCTTTATCTTTGTTTTAGCCAAAAGAAAGCAGAAGTGAACCTCTCTACGTATTTTTCTTCAGATTTTCTCTTTGGAATCTGTCTCTGAAGTTCTTCCCCTCCAGGATGACAACTCTTAAGTCAGAGACAAATGTGTCCAATATTAATCTCTGTAGTTTTTGAATGTTGCTATTTCTGATGTCCATTCTGTGTCTATTTATTCTTTTGTGTAGAGGTTGGCTAGTCTGTCCAATGAACAATGTTGTGAGATGCTACTGGCAAAACAACTACAACAACAACATATATTCCCATAATATCCAACTTAATTCAGAAAGATTTTTGGCTGGAACCCTAGAGTGGCTGCCAGTCCAAGTTGGAGATACCCAACAGCATAACACAGTTTCCTAAACTTGATCTTAAAAGGAAGAAATTACACATTGTCATTTTATCAAGCATGACTTGTATATTAATACCTGGGGCTATTGTATTTTGGACACATCATAAGAAGACAAGACTTACTGACAATGACAATAATAATGAGAAAAGCTGAAGGCAGTAAGACGAGAGGAAGACTGGATATGAGAGGGATTGATTTAATAGAGAAACCATAACTCTCAGTTTGCGAGCTCTTTAGCAGGGCTGTTCATGACAGGAACTTTTGGAGGTCACTAATTCATAGGGTCGTGCTGGCCCTGCATGTTCAACTGCTGAAGCCTCTGTGCTGCAAGGTCAGAAGACCAGCAGTCATAAGATCAAATCCACGAAGCAGAGTGAGCTCCCGTCGCTTGTCCCAGCTCCTGCCAACCTAGCAGTTTGAAAGCATGTAAAAATGAGAGTAGATAAATAGGTACCACCATGGTGGGATGGTAACGGCATTCCGTGTCTAGTCGCGCTGGTCACGTGACCACGGAAACTGTCTTTGGACAAACGCTGGCTCTATGGCTTGGAAATGGGGATGAGCACCATGCCCTAGAGTCGGACATGACTGGACTAAATGTCAAGGGGAACCTTTACCTTTACCTAATTCATAGAGCCACCATGAGTCAGAAGCAACATGAGGGCAAATAGCAATTACATTGCACAAAGGCTCGGGTCAAATAAGCCTTGTTAAGTCTTCAGGGTGCCATGGGACTCTTCAGTTGTTTTCTCTGCAACATACTGACCCAAATCATGTTGCTTAGCCTAGAAAATTGTACTAGAGTAGGACATTTGAATCAAGGAGATTTGGCAAATTAACTTCTCTATAAGTTCCATTGATTCAAATGGGCTTTCTCTAACCATGATTTACTGTGCTAAAGTAAAACCCAAAGGAAGCTGTGTGGTCATTAAAATTGTAGAACAATGTGACACCTTTATTATTAAATCACAGTTAGAGGAGATCCATTTGAATCAATGGAACATGCCGAAGACTTGACTTATCAAATCCTTATTGATTCAGTGTGGGCCTACTTTAGTGCAATTTATTATGCTAAGCAACATAATTTTGGCCACTAACATGACTAGACCTCTGAAAATCTCTACAAACTGTAACTGCTGTTTTATTTCCTGATTACGATTATGTATGTTCCAGTGAAATAAAATAATAAGCTTATGGGTTTTTAATTCTTTTCTAGTACTAGGGACAGGGGTGGGACAAGAGCAGGGTCTGGCAGACATACAGAGGATAATCAGTACAAAGAAATTGGTGTTTAATTCTTTCTTTACTCCCAGTTTTCTCTAAGGAGTTTTAAATAATTTGCTTTTAGCCCTGCTGGACTCCAAGCCAAAAGTGACTGGACAAAAATAGAATATTTGCAAAGGAGAGTAGTCATGGGTCAGAAAAGTCAAACACACCTCTTTGTAGTGACCTCTTCCCTTGCAAGTGACTTTATGCCTCCATTTATTCCCAAGATCTGAGAAAAGGAGAGGGGAATTAAACAGAAAAGTTCACCAGTAAAACACTCAGCTTTGCTTGAAGTTGTCTTCCTGCAGTATTATGGCTTTGAAACAAAGGTGGTTTGTGTACACAGTGGTGCAAGAAGAATCTTCTCACTCAGCAGGTTATTTGACAAAATAATGATTTGGGAGAAGGTGAAGGCAGAGGGGCTTGGGTTCAGTCCCTCCCTGATAAATAAGTGGTCTGCAGTGTGAGCATACACTAGTAAAAGGGACAGGATCTTGTGTTCTCATCCATTCTAACGTAGGTAGAAGCTCTTTGTGTTCCATCTTTTGCTCAGGAAAAGGACCCAGAGCAGAGTCCAAAAGAAAATAGCCAGATCATGGCCATGTACTTTCTTGGTTATAAAACTTGTTTTTCTTTTTTGTAAACATTTCCCCTGATGGTTGAATTAGCAACTTAAATTGATGTCATTTTCATTTTTATAATTTGGACAATTTATTATTTCCTTTTTATTTGATATTTTATAGAGACACATTGGTTCTCATGAATATTTTTGTATTTTATTGTGAACATCCTGAATATATGTTAAGCAAATAGTGCTACTGCATGCAGTATTTGGACCAGATACAGGGAGGTCCTTTGAAGCTGGTAGAAGCTCACTTCTTTATATTTGCATTTTCTCCAGAACAGAGCAACTATATTAATTTATTCGTGAAGGCTTTCACGGCCGGGATCTAATGGTTGTTGTGGGTTTTTCAGGCTCTTTGGCCATGTTCTGAAGGTTGTTCTTCCTAACGTTTCAGCAGTCTCTGTGGCTGGCATCTTCAGAGGCCAGCCCTCTGTGCTCTAGTACAGTTTGTTTGGGGGTTTAGTATTTATGGCTGTGAGATCAGCTTTTGTCCTTTTCAGGAGATGGGTGATTAGTGTGTCTTGTTGTGGGTTTATTGTTGTGATAAGGAGGAGAGATTATCTGTCACTGTGATTGATGGGTGTCATTAGCTGGTCTTTTGTGGCTGGGGAGAGGTTGTTGACCTTTTGGACACTGTATTTTTCAGAGCTGGGAGCCACGTTTTGTTGAGTTTCAAACTTTCCTGTTTTTGTTGAAGTTCTGCTGGTGCGTGTGGATTTCAATGGTTTCCCTGTGCAGCTTAACATAATGATTGCTGGTATTGTCCAGTATTTCAGTATTTTGAAATAGAATTTCATGTCCAGCTTGTTTTAGGGCATGTTCAGCTACTGCCGATTTTTCTGGTTGTTTTAGTCTACAGTGTGGCCAGGTATATATTGGAACCACAAAACAAAGCATCCAAACCAGAATCAAAGAACATGATAGACATTAATGTGATAATGCTCCAGATTTGTTTTTTGACATTTGCTAGAAATCTTTATTGTATGGCTGTCATTCACAGCTGTAGAGATCAGAAATGACTGAAGATTAAATTGACGTATATATCATATCTCCTGCAGAATTTCTTGATAAAATCAAGTGGATCTTTTTATTGTGATCGTACCTGTAGCCACAGTCTGAAATGGGGCTAGGACCAATTCTTCTATTTTCTAAATGTTTATAGTTAAAGAAATGCCTCTTTGTCAGAAGATATCTGTAAATCTGATATAATCTGTTACACACCCACAAACACACTTTCAGCTGGATACAATGATTTTACATCTGAAATAATTTTCCCTTTTAATTTTTCATTTGACAATCTCACTCTGCCTAATGATGGGCTACCCTGGCGTCTAGCACTTGTGAAGCCTATTAATAGGAGGGATGGAGAAAATGAAGATATAGATGGTATGACCAAAATTCCCATTTCAGTAATAGCCCATCAAGACACTTGTGCAGAGTCCTTTTACGGTTACCAGAAAAGGAACAGAAATAGGACTTTGCTAAGACCCATGACGTCCTTTCCCTTACAGGAAACATGCCCATGAAGAAAGCTATACCTGCACTCCTTTCTGTTTTTCATAATTTCTACCAGTCATAATTTTTAGGCATGTCTAAACCCTGCAAAATATAATGTTCATAGAACAGTTCTTACATGTGATATGTTACAATCCAAGAGAAATGCACTGTTTTTATCTGATGTTACCAGTAAAGTCAGTTTAGCTATAATGCAAAGCGAGATCTTCTGTGTTTAATACTGACATATGTTGTCTTTTAATCCTTGTGTAGATTCTGCTGAGCTTGTTTGTTGCTGTTATTTTGGATAACTTGGAACTGGATGAAGATCTAAAGAAACTTAAGCAAGTAAGCCTTTTCATGTTGTATTTTAATTGCAAGGACGCAGTATTGTGTCCTAATTTTACAAGAGATATGCAGATGTTAAACAATCTTTAGAAAAGCAAATTAAGGTGTATATAGACTTGAATAGGGCATGAAATACTTAAATCAAGCTTTGATGATCAGCAAACATGGTTTCTTTTAGATTTTCCTTTGATTATATGAAATGTTTCTTGAGCAGTAGACCTAAAACCATCACACTTACCTTCATCTTAACCAAAACCGAAAGAAAAGTAATAGCAATGAATGTATTTCGTCTGTACCACCAACACAGAAAAAAAAACACAGCCCAGCAGTCTCTTGTTAGAGCAGGAGATTCCACTACATTTCATTAAGCTATCTATTTGTGAAGAGATGTATGGGGGAAAAAACCCTACTTCCTCCATTGAAGTGAAGAAGGAAGCCCTCATGTCCAGTGAGTGGTCCCTGGTGTATACCATGGCTTTTAACGCACTCAGGATCACAGAAAAAGATTTTAGAGTGACTTTAGATATTTAAACAAAACGAAAAGCCAAATCCAATATGGCCTGAAGCAAATTCAGTTTTTTCCTTGTCTGTCAGTGGGTGAGCAGGCAGGCAAGTCCTGTGTGTGGAAGACAGAACAGAATGAGGCTTTTGAGCACAGTGATTCCTTGTGGGCCACAAAGCCCCCTCTCTGAGGTTGTGGGCACATTTCCTAGCACTCCTCTCATTAATCATTTCTCATTCACAGGATTCCAGCACAAGTGACACCGTAAGAAAATTGTTTTCCCATGAGCTAAATGAAATGGAACTCCTGGTTTTGGAATGATTGCAATTGTGAATTATTCTTCTAAAATATTTGTTTCCTTATCATGAAAGTAAAGCAGAAATGTGTATGAGTATCTCTGTACATATATATTAATCCAGTGACATTTTAACTTTTGCATTATAAGCTGATCATAAGAAGAAGGAGAAATGGTGTGTATAATTGTCGTTCTTCTTAATCAAGCTGTTTTTAAAATTGGAAATGGCTTTGTAACATTGTAGGGGAGAATGCTCTTCTCAGCCTGTAATTGAAAAACCTAAATGAAACACCAGGAGGTAGCTGGCTAATTTGCTGTGGGCTGATTCTTCAGAAAGCCTTTGTGCATACCAATTTAACCTGTCTCACCTTGCACAGGATTCATTTTTGCCAACGTTTCTTTTCATTTGCCATTTGCTGTTAACCATAGGTTGTGGGAAAGGGACTTTTTTTGATTGTTAATGACTACCTGGGAGGAATGCCTTCTAATCAATTTCTTCCTCTTGTTCATAATTTTCATGAAAATGGCCTGCACTACAGTGTGATGGTTGTTCCCTTAAGGCTGTATTAAGTTCTACAAGCTGTATTATTTTCTACAACCTATTCATTAAAGTACAAAAAAAAGAGAGGAAAAGATGGCTGTACTTGAAAGCACTTGGCATTTGAGAAATGTGGTGAGTGTTTGGCAGTTACTGAAAAATCTGAAGAATTAATCAAGCAGGTGCTCAGCATTTAGCAAAATGCAGACTTCAGTATATCAAGGTTAACACAGTTGTGTTCACCTCAGTGTTAACTGTATTTAGATTGTCAATAACTAACTGACTTTCTGTTACAATGCTCAAATCTTGCAAGCGTGCAATCTTGTAAAACAATAATAAATATCAAACAAATTTAACCATAAAACCATTAAAATCAAATAAAACTAAGAATCATAGAAGTCAGTTAACTCGACAGTTAAAAACAACATGGTAGAATAAGCATATTGACAGAATAGTGCCCTCTGGAATATATTCCTAATTTCATGTCTCTTTAAGGGATTTACGTTACCGGTATATTATTGTTTTTAAGTCACTTCTAGGACTTTGTTTTCTTTTTGAGAGAGGCACATAATTTGCGTCATTAAAATTGAAAGCATTATGTTGATAAAGTCATCTTACAAAAGCATATCTGTAGTTAATATTATTATTGATCCTAATTTAACCTGAAAGACCCAGAAGGGCTGGGAAAAGCAATAGGAATGGAGCAGAAATACACTGGATTATGTGTCGCAACACATGTGGTTGTTCTGTATACTTGAAGAGTTGTTAAATCATGAACGTGTGACATTGCCTACCCAGTTTTTATTCTGAAAGTAGCTGCTAGGGTTTCCTATCTGTTGGGATGGTGGTTATGTCTGAAAGTTTGAGAATGTCTCATGGACACCGTCACAGTTTGTGTGGTGAAGGGAAGTGTCCTTCCATTATTTGCCTTGTCGAGTAAAAAATTCCAGTAGGTAAAAGATAAGAGAAAACAGAATGAACCTTGAAAGCTCAACATTAAAATATCGCAGTTAATCTTTATAGTGCCATTCATTTTTGTCTCGTTAGTTTTTCATTTCTTTTTGTTTGGTTTTTTTTTGGGGGGGTCAGATATTAAGAGAAGTGAGAAGATTGGTAGGAAAGAGGGCACCATTTTGCTTCTACCATCCTGTTTCTTCCAAAGAATGTGCTAGGACAAGTAACTGCATTTTTACCACACATTACTGTTCTTTAATGAAAAGTGTTCTTAGTGGCAAGATCATTGCGGTGTCATTGACATAAATGGCAGAACGTGATCAAAAAGCTCAGACCCTGAAAACTAGCCTAATGTCTATTAATATAAACTATGCTTTATTTACTCTCAAAACCCTCATAATAATGTAATGTTGTACAATATTGTTGCCTGAAAATGAAAGGCAGGATCAGGGCTCTAGATCAGACTTTTTTAAATGTTAGGAACCAAACATTTTTTCATTTGCCTGGGTAGTGGCTTGCTCTGGTCAGTAAGACTGCAGAATAATATCTACAGTGATATTGGGTCCATAGATAGATATTACAGTACAGATTGACACAAAACACAACCTTAATCTTCAGAATTAGGTTGTGCAGCAATGTCAAGCTTTCCTCAGTTTCAATTGTATGTGACCTTGGTCCACAAATTACTTTTTCTAGGATAGGATTGATGTGTGTCCCAAGGGCGGATGCCTCTAAATGATAAAGAATCACTACTGTACCTCCAGGGCTCCACATTTACCAGGTACACAGCCTTATCTGCCCTCCCAATTAATTGTTCCAAGGGTGCTTTGTCTTTATTCAGTTTTTCTTGCTCCCAGTCCATGCTTGCATTGAAACTGAGAATGAGTCTAAAAGCCTACTGCCTTTTCACTATGAAATATCAGGCATTCTCATCTGATTTTAGACATTAAGCACCATGTCACTGTCAATTAGTGTCTGGATGGTAGAAGAGAGTCAGATAATGAGAAATCAGCAATTTTTTTTTTTAAATCCCTACATGAATTGGTTTACTACGCCAATTCACAATACTTTGTGGATTTCTTAAGGGTCCTTAAGTCAATTCCAGTTTTCAACTAGCATTTTCTTGGCACAAAGTACTCAGAAGTGGTTTACCAGTTCTTCAGGTAGAATTCTGGATGTACAACTTGCTCAAGGGTGCACAAACTGGCTGTTCTCTTGGGAAGCACACTGAGGAATTGTACTTCTGAACTTCGGTTCTGAAGCTAGGGTCTCCAACCCACCAAGTTATCGAGCAAGCTATTCTGTGAATTGTTCAGAAAATGATAAATGCTTTTTGATTTTTTCAGCATATCATTTCCTTCTTAGCTCACCATTTGCAACCCATCGTTACTACCATATTTATAACTGAGGCTAATACTTCATCCATCTGACAAAGTATCTGCAAAAACTTTTGTCACAATGAATTTGTTAATCTGTAAGTTTGTGCACTTCTTTATTTGAGTGCTTCCCAAGTCATGTGGAAAACTCTTAATAGAAATGGGACAGGATTCCCACATCTCCTAAGACATAGCCCAGGCCATCTGACTCTTAATCATTTCAGTAGCTCACTTTCTGCTCAGTTTCCTCTTTCAAAGAAATATTCCCTTGGGAGGAATCAGTTCTCCCACACAGCTTCCCACATCTGTCAGTCTTTTTTTCCTAATGCATATTTATGACCTAAGTACAGATGTTCATTACTGAAAACATTTTTGCAGTTGATGTGCTTTATTACTTGTGACTGTACATTTTCTCAGCATGCTTGAATATTTTCAGGAAATGCATAGTTTGAAATGAATGAAAATTGCTCTCTGTCTCTCTGTCCATCACCAGCTAAAATAATTGTCATTTTTCTCTGGGTTCATGTTTTTCAAGTAAAAAACAGTTCAGCCAATTTAGCTAATAAAATCCCCCCCACCCACTTGCATCATGACAGTGCATTAAAAAACCAAGATGTTTTAAAACCTGACTCTTCATACTCCTGTCAACTTTGGTGATCTATTAATTGATTTTAGTGCTTTCCTTTTATAATTATCATTCAATCACATTGAAAACTGATTGTCATTTAATGTTATATCTGTGTGGAATTGGGCTGGAGCCTCCTTTTGCTTTTGTGCCGGCTGTCTCATGATATGTGTAACTTGGATATTATCATCACCATCATGCTTTCTAATAGTGAACTCAGATTATGAACGCTGACATTTTGGTTATGTAGCCAAAACTGGAGCCACTGAAAAACAAAAGGGAAATATAAGTATGCTTGTGGGGATACCATAAGATCTGCAGAAGCATAAATTATCTTTAAAAATAAAACCTAAATGGGGATTGGGGGTGGGGGGGATTTAGCCGGTGAAAACTCAAGATTCTTAATAGTTATGGAGTATTATGTGTCAGAGGAGGTGGGGAGAAAATGTGGCACGCATTAAAGAAGTACATGGCTGGCTAGTTGGCAGGAATCCTAAGCAGCATTCATGTGAAGAGGTGCCATTGCACTAAAACTTGCGGTGTGAGATCTCTGTATATAAGATTGTGGGACTCAGTATCGATGACACTATAAAGACCATTCACATGGAAATGTCAGCATGTTTGAGAAACCCTCTGTTTCATAAAAGTACAAAAGAATTAATTTGTTAATTATTTTAAATTTTAAATTATTATTTATTTTTAAAACCACA